TCCATTATAGAGGTAAATTGGGTTTAAAATAGAATTTTTCAAGCAGAAGAGCAAAAAATGTAAGGTCAAACAGAGTGAGGAACCAGAGCTTCAAATTGTGGTATAAAACTTGTTAGGGCATGGATTGATCTATTGATATACTAAGAAAGTCAGACCCTCTGACATGCCCTATAGAGAGTAAATATACTGAACTAGAACAAAAATTATATGAAACAGCTGTTAAGTGACAGAACAAATGTGCACTGGACCACCAGCTTGTCATAAATATTGCACTCTTAATCAGAAAGCATCTGTCTTTTCATTTCCTTTTCAGTAATCTCTGCATTGTATTTAATCTGTGTAAAATGCTTCTTCTAACAGGTGCAACAATGTTTATAAAGTGGAAACCTTATTTAAATGAAGTTTACAACTAGAGACATTTCAATTAACAAAGCGATATCTTATGAGGTGGAATAATGCTGACATTTGGCAAAGTCACAGATTGCTTTTCATTGGTAAAATTTAACTATTGTAAAATTAGAGTATAGATGCCAAGAAAAGCATAAAGATGAAAGGTATTTCAAGCAATCTATGCAATAAATGAACATTCAGAGAAACTACAGGGAAAATTTACTGGTGGGAATGCGGGTAGTATGAAGTATTGGGAGTATTTATTATAAAATGTCATATTTCATAAAAAAATGTTAGAACTAATAATGTTCAATATCTTCCCCAAAAGTGGTATCTCCAGCACTAGTCTACTTTCCTACAGGTAGTTTTTCTCTTATTATCACTACTTACTTGTGGAAATTGAATATAATAGATTCATAATCAATCTTTCTGGATTAAAAACCCTGTCAGAAATTCTGAGACTTGCATTATAATCATCTAAATAAATTATAAATAAATAATTTCTTTAAAAACATGAGTAGAATGTTAGTATACTTAGAATGCATATACAATTTTTAAAGTGAACGGGACTGTAGCTTTAACTTCTTTTACTCAAAATGGAAAAATACTGAGCACAAAGATAGCAAACTCTGTTTCTACAGCCTCCAGGCAGGTAATAGAGGTGATAGGAGTCTGGTGAAACATATGGCCTTTTAGGCTGATGGATCATTCATTTCCTAAGTTTTGGTAGAAAGAGGTGTTGAAGAAATATTCTTAATATTGTAATTGTAATGCACAATTTAGCCAATTGTTTCCGTGAAAAAAGGAATCCATTGCTTCCAAAAATTCAAGTTTTCAATAAAGCTCAGAACAAACAAAAGATATCTGTGGACTGGATCTTTTCCTTAGGCTACAAATTTGCAAACTTTAATGTAATAGTTGAGGATTATTGTAATAGTTGAGGATTACTGTTAAAGAGATCTAAGATAAACTTCTATCTTGGCCATTTGTTAGCTTTATGATCTTGGATAAGCTACTTGATCTTAAGCTTCATTTCATCCTCAGCAAAAAAAAAAAAGCCAGCAATAAAAGGTGACTCATAGGAATATTTTAAATGATAAGTGAGATAAAGTAATATACCTCAGTTTCTAAATTGCATCCAACACTTTGCAACCCCATGGACGGTAGCCTGCCAAGCTCCTTTGTCCATGGAATTTTCCAAGCAAAAATAGTATAGTGGATTGCCATTTCCTTCTGCAAGGTAATTTAAAATATTTCCTATTGTAAAACTATTTAGCAAAGCAAGTATTCAGTAAGTGGTAGACAGTACATATTATATTACACATATACATATAGCATATTATGCAATACATAAACATAATGTATATTTTATTTTAATTGCATGGGAAAAGCTCTAATTTCCTTATCTGCTTTTACTAATTGGCATAAGATAAATATTCTTTAAAGCATGGATACAGTCTTTCAATATTTATAATTCCTCTTAATAACTGCATACAAATATTTATTATAGGTTAACACAGAAAGCAAAGGCTATTATCTGTTCTTTGAACAGTTCACCATACAAAATTGTCTCATCTCAAGCTTTCACATTTTGTAAGGGACAAATCCATTAAATTTTTTTCCCACACTAAAGCAATATAAACAAGGTCATTAGTTATAAAACACAGAAGATTCTCTTTTAATTACTTTTTTTTGGAGACAAATACAGTAGAAAGTATTTTGATGATGGGAGTTAGACATTCTGTGTATAATCTGAAAAACTGATTAGCTCATTCAGACTAAGCCAGTTTTAGGGAATCAACTTTAGCCTGAGGATTTTGTTGTTTAGTCACTAAGTCCTGTTGGACTCATTTGCCACCCTATGTAGCAGTGAGTTCCTGGGGAGTTTCACATTATAATGGTACCTTCAGAGAACCTGGGCTCCCCTGATGGCTCAGATGGTAAAGAATCTGCCTGTAATGTGGGAGATTCAAGTTCAATCTCTGGGGTGGGAAGATCTCCTGGAAAAGGGAATAGCAACCACAAGGGACTTCCCTGGTGGTTCAGATGGTAAAGCATCTGTCTACAAAGTGGGAGACCCGGGTTTGATCCCTGGGTCGGGAGATCCCCTGGAGAAGGAAACGGCAGCCCACTCCAGTAGTCTTGCCTGTAAAACCCCATGGGCGGAGGGGCCTGGTGGGCTGCAGTCCATGGAGTCGCAAAGAGTCGGACACGACTGAGCGACTCCACCCCACCACCACCAGTACTCTTGCCTGGAGAACCCCATGGACAGAGGAGCCTGGCGGGCTACAGTCCACGGGGTTGCAAAGAGTCAGACATGACTGAGAGACTAACACCCAACCTCAGAGAACTTCCCTGGGTCCTGTTTCCAAATTTCCTCCCATGACCTGCTCAGATTTTCCAACTCATCATAACCCACCCAGTCAGCCTTAGAAGTATGCTTTTCTTAATGATTAGCAAACTCCTCCCTCCACTAATATTTTATCAAAAAAGTTTTGAAATTCCCCCACCAATGTGTAAGTCAGATAATAATAATTCTGATGGTAGCTCTGGGTAATGAAGCCTTACTATATACTTAATGTTAGCCAAGTCCCTTACAGGCAAGGTATGCATTTAATCTTTACCATGGCTCTATAGAGGCTTCCCTGGTGGCTCAGTGGGAAAGAATCTGAATGTCAAGCACCAGACACGAGTTCCATCTTTGAGTCAAAAGACCTCTTGGAGAAGGATATGGCAACCCACTCCAGTACTCGCGCCTGCAGAAGCCCAGGGACAGTGGTGGGCTACAGTCCCTGGGGTTTCAGAAGAGTTGGACACAACTTTGAGACTAAACAACAACAATGGCACTATAGATTCTGTATATATACCAAGGTTCTCTCATCTATAAAAAACAGTTCTTAAAGAAGTTAAATCATGTCTAGAACTTGAATCCAAAGTCAAAGTGAAAGTCACTCAGTAGTATCCGATTCTTTGTGGCCCTATGCACTATATAGTCCATGGAATTCTCCAGGCCAGAACACTGGAGTGGGTAGCCTTTCTCTTCTCCAGGGGCTCTTCTCAACCTAGGGATTGAACCATAGTCTCCTGCATTGCAGGCGGATTCTTTACCAACTGGGCTATCAGGGAAGCCCCCAAAGACAAGTACAGTCTCATTACTAAGACTATACTATATTGCCTCTCTAAATTCTTGGCCTAAACTCAACCTGAATGCATTAAACATATATTGAATAAAAGTTTTCTTTCAACATGTTAACATGACAGGAGCTGGATGGGCTAGGATGGGATGGAGGGTGATAAAAAGATGTTAAAATGCATCAACTAGGAAAATTAAAAATGAGTTAATTTTTTAATTCATCAATTTCATTAAAGTATATATAGTGGGCTTGGAATGAGAAAAGATACCTCTATACATGTATCACAGTGATTGCTTTTCCACTACCCAAGAATTCATATACAATAGGAGTCATCCAGAATTTCTCCCTCCAAGAATATAAGTTGTTAGTGATCATTTGTAAGTGTCTACTGGTGGCTCAGATGGTAAAGAATCCACATGAAATGCAGGAGACCAGGGTTCTATCCCTGGGTTGGGAAAATCCCCTGGAGAAGAGAAGAGCTATTCATTCCAGTATTCTTGCCTTCATGGACAGAGGAGCCTGATAGGCTACAGTCCATGGAGTTGCAAAGAGTCAGACACAAATGAGTGACTAATATACACACAGACACACACTGAGGAAATGAAGGGTGAGGGTAGAGGTCTGCAGACAAACACAAAGATCACTGTAGCAAAAACTATCAGACATTAGGAGATTGCATTTCTGATACTGAGCCTATAAAAATACAATTTAGATAACAACTTTTTAGGAACATCTGTAACTGAAAAACAAACAAGGCTTCATTTTCCAGTCACTGTTTTGTTAATGAAATAATTACTTCAAGAAGGCCACCCCAGAGGCTTTCAAATACCTCCCAGCAAAGAAGGGATAATCTTGCAAAAGAAGGAATAATCTTTCGGTAGGTTTGGATCTACAGAGAAACAGTTTCCTGTGACATAACTCTGAGAAAGATAAAAAGGCTTAAGGTACAATAGAAGAATGAACACAATTAAGGTGAATCAGGCCCCTGTGATATCCTTTGGGAGAAAACTTCATGTCCTCATAAGAAAAATGTAGCATCTTTTTAGGCAAGGAAACTATTGACAAATTTTGGAAAGCTACTCCACAAGACTCACATTAATATACAGCAGGTGAAATGTACTTTCCCTTGGGCAAGGAGAGGAGAATCTATTGCATATGTCATCTGTTTCTGTGAATACTGAAGATTACAATTATGTTTTGATGTTAATCCAACAACTGCACATTTCTTGTTGAGAATCAAGCTGCGAAAATGTGAGTGACAGTATAAATCTTTTTAAATTGAATTCAGCACTATTGAAAAGAGCTGATGTTTTCAAATATTCTTACAAAGCCTCTGAACAACAAGAATAATTTTCTAAATGAAGCCACATTTTAGAGTAACCTACTTGGTAAGCAAGATGAATAGCCAAGATAAAATAAAATCCTGCATGTCTGCTATATATGGAGTGTGTGTTTTGCATTTCTGTAAGCACTCACCTCTAATGTTTTGATGTCCTCATAAGTAAACCTCATGGTGGGAACTCCAAGATGGTTGATGAAATAATCAGCATCATCCTGCATCTGCTCAGAACTGATATTCGTTTCCAGGCACTGACCTCTTCTGGGACAATTGAATTTATTTTTCTGAAAAAAATAATTTAAATTGTTAGCACACACTATACTTCTTAGGTCATTCCTAAACCAATGCTATTCAACACGTGGGCCAGTATGAGCAGTATCAATGATACCCAGGAACCTATTTGAAATATGAACTACAAATGCTTAGGTGACACCAATACCCTTCCAAATGGGAACCTTTGAGAACGAAGTCCAGAAATCTTCGTGCCAGCATTCTTCTATGAGGCTCATGCTCACTGGAGAGTGACTTTAGCACTGGCCTAGATCAAGCTTTGCCTGTTGTTGCTGCTGCGAAAGCATTTTTATTATTTTGTTGCTGCTAAGTCACTTCAGTCATGTCCGACTCTTTAAGATCCCATGGCCTGTCCTGCCAGGCTCCTCTGTCCAAGGGATTCTCCAGGCAAGAATACTGAAGTGGTTTGCCATGCTCTCCTCCAGGGGATCTTGACCCAGGGATCAAACCCACAGCTCTTATGTCTCCGGCACTGGTAGCTGAATTCTGCATACTAGCATTAACCGGGCTTCCCTGGAAGCTCAGCTGGTAAAGAACTGCCAGCAATGCAGGAGACCCCTGTTCCATTCCTGGGTCAGGAAGATGCCCTGGAGAAGGGAGACAGTAAGCACTCCAGTACTCGGGCTTTCCTGGTGGCTCAGAGAGGGCTGCCTGGGAAAAAGAATCTGCCAGCAATGTGGGATACCTGGTCTGACCCCTGGATTGGGAAGATCCCCTGGAGAAGGGAACAGCTACCCACTCTAATATTCTTGCCTAGAAAATTTCACGGACAGAGGAGCCTGGCAGGCTACTGCCCACGGGATGGCAAAGAATTGGATACCACTGATTAACTTTCATTTTCACCTGGGAATAGATTTATTATAAAGTTTAATGACTCATCAAAAGAGAATGTAGACAAAAAACACTACAATATTGTAATTAGCCTCCAACTAATAAAAATAAATGAAAAAAAAAAGAAATTAAAAAAAAGAATGTAGAGTCCCTCAAAGGTTTAATTTTGTCTTTTTTAAAGTTTTCCAACAAATATAAAGGATGGTTTGGTAGGATATAATTTTATTCTTAAAATGCTTTTTTGGAAAACCACAGAAAATAAAGTTCCTCCATTTCTTATTCAAAACTTATCCCCACATGTCTTATGAGTATATGCCAAATACCATGGGCCAAAGAGAACCACAAAACTAAGTGCAACCTCTAGGGAAATAAAAAATGATGGACTATTATTTCTTAAACTAAGAGTTGTCTATCATGTAAAACAAATGACAGTAACTTTACAAAAATGAAACAAAAAAATCAAAATCCAATTAAATAAGGGTTCTTGTAACTATTATTGATTTAAAATGTCTTCTTCAAAAAAAATTTCCAAATATCTAGAATATTTCTGTGGTGCTGTTGTCTCGAGTGTGAAATGTGGAAGAATATCAGTCTCTTCACCAGGATCCATAAGGGGAATGAGACAACAGTGTGAGAACATCACATCTAATAGGAGGCAAAAAGTATGTATTTGGTGCAAAATTGCCATTGAATTGGCAGTTCAACTCTTCAGTCCCTTCCTATGTTTCTTTGGCATGGTATAATTTTGGAAACACTCAAATATAACCTATCAAAAGCTTTAGAAATATGCATTTTAATATTCAGAAACTGAGTTATTCCAACTTTTTTCAGCTACAGTGCTAGATCCTTCAAATATATAATAATGTTTCAATACTTATTTATTTTTTGAGGTTCTAATAGAGGGAGGGGACATATGTACACTTATGGTTAATTCATGTTGATATATGACAGAAATCAAACCAATATTGTAAACCAATCAATTAAAAATAAACAGATATCAAAAAAAGAAATATATTTGCAACGAACTTTAAATCAATTAAAACGGAAAGTTGGTGTAAGGATTTATAACCTAGGCAAGGTTTCAGCTTCACTTCATTTACAAATATCTTGGGTAATTAGATAGTACCAGGTGATGCTAGGGGTGAAGAATCCACCTGCCAATATATGAGAACTGAGAGAGGCAGCTTCCATCCCTGGGTTGGGAAGATCCCCCTGCAGTAGGAAATGGCGACCCACTCCAGTATTTTTGCCTCAAAAATCCCACGGACTTTTTGAGGAACCACAGGAGCCTGGCGGCTACAGAGAGTTGGACACGACTGAGCAAAACAGCTAACCACTAAGCACTAGGTAACTAAGCACTTTGGGAATAAAAAGTAATGAGTGTTCTAGTATACAGTGCAATGAGAAACCTCATGCTTTTTATGGTGACCTCCCCGCCACACACACACCAATTCTTTCCTTTAAAAGCTTAGTTTTCTGAAAAGATAATTAATCCTCTTTCACTCCTTCATATACTCCTGGGACCAAGACTCCTAGAGGTTTAATACCAACTGGGAGACTTTAAGGAAAATTTTGATTATTCCCAAAGAACAGCTACCCTTAAGTACTGGAACATGAAAAGCGAAGAGACCACTTAACATCGTGTAAGAAATCCCAAGTATTTCTGAGATATCCAGGTAACTATGAAGGTAATTGTTGCACCAGAATAGACTTTTTTCTAATTGAATTTGATTGCACTGAGCAGTCAAGACACTCACCAGTGTCCCATGACTAGTGTCTCCCAGTTTGCCTGCTTCACTCATTCAAACATACTGAGTGGTGACTGGAGGCATTTGAATTTGGGAAACCTAGGTTGTTGCACCCTTTTATGTTATTAATAGGCTTTGATGGAATCTAGTCTCTTTCCAGACTCTAGCCAATAAAATTAAAATTTATTTTTTAAGTGGTCTACTCTCCCTTTACTGCATCAACATCTACATGTCTTAGAGATAGCACACATACCCTATTCATCATCAATGAAAATGTAGGTTTGGCCTTTGTTTCTTTTTGTATACATAATTCTTATATCCACTCCTCTAAATATCAGCCATGCTCCTTAGACAGAATTTTTTCTCAATAGGCATGGATAAAAATTGACATCTTTCAATTCCATGAGCTGTCTGTAAAAATTGTTTTTAATTAAAGTTTTAAAAATAATAGTGGTTTTCAATGTTGATAACACTTGTACTCAGTTATCATTGTTATAGTTTCCCTCTCACAAAAAGTAATAATTTCCCATATATGCAAGTTCCTAAAATGGGAGAGATGACCAGCTCCAATCAATGCTTACATCCTTTGTTTTATCTAACAGTTACTCAAAGCACAATTCTTGTTTTGCCTCAGTCTTTTACTGAACCCAAGCGTTCATCCCAAAACCAGAACAGATTCTGTAATCTTTCTGTTTTTTCCATGGCTAATCCCATTGCATCTAATATTTTCATTGCAGTCTATTTCTGTGATTTATTCTAGTTACATCATTGCTTTCATGTTTTGTGTTTTTCAGGCAAATAAAACAAGTAATATCCAGCCTTCAGGATCACATTTCCTAAAATATTTCTGCATCTTTTCCCCTCCTCTGGCTTGCTTTACTTCACTCATCTATTGAAAAGTCTACATCTTTTCCCTAAAAGTTTGTATTGCCACCTCTGTCACACATAAACTCTTTTGTAAACCAACTCTAAGATGTCAGTGGGGTGAATATTATTAAAATTGTTTTTAAATTATGTGTTGACAGTTAAGATCTCTTAAATCACATCTCTGGTACTAATATGGACTATTTAGGTAGGGAGAACAGAGTGCAGAATAATAGGCTTGCATGGCCCCAAGGTGTAGCTGGGCCTGATAGCTGAAGGCACTAGACTATTGAGTCTCCTGTCAAAATAAAGCCCAAATGAAGAGTAAAAGATTCAAGAAAATCAACCCAAGATTGGAAGATCAGGGGTGACACAGAGTTCCCTAAGGAGGCTTCCTGGGGCCTATCCTTTATCTGCTGAGTTTCCCTGTAAAAGCTTGTGGAGAGTTTATCTGGCCAGCCCTTCTGTCTCCCCTAGCACCTTATTTTCTACCACCTACTCTCTTATGATTTAACCAAGGATGAGAGGCAGAACTGTAGGATCCTCAAGCCTATGTTTATTTTGTTCTTTTGCTCCTAACTAGTTTCAGAGTAAAATAGGGTTAAAAAGAACCCAATTTTCAGATTGAATCATCTAGGGATTTCCCTTAAGAGGAAAACATTCCTGGCACACAAAACCTATCCTCTAAATCTTTTTATTATTCACTACCTTAAATTCTAGGCCAAACTCACAGACCTGAAGTGATCCTAAATCTGTATTCTAATTTAATATAAATTGTTTTCCCTCACAGCAGTGAAGTGGATTGTAATGGATCCATATCAGGTACCAGATGCTGATCTACTCAACCTCTAAAAGCACCACTATCTGAGAGGGAAGTAGAAAATGTATTTCCTTCACTTTTCTAGAAGTTAGCCACCACAAGTGAGAGAAGATTGGTAACAAATTTGTACATATCAATATTTTTTTAAAATTTATTTACAAGGCTGAATAAATACAAATTAAATATTTCATTCAAGGAGTTCAAAATGTTTCACACTTAATGTTTGATACCAGACATGTTTATTCCAGTTTATAAAGTAAGCAAGTTCAGACAAAAGCCATGATTATGTAATGTTTAATTTCCTATCACTAGTCTGTTGACCTGAAATGAAATCATAACCTCAATCCTAAATCAGTATGCTCTTTGCAAGTATACTTTTAAGCTGAAAGGAATAACTTCATAGTAAAATATTATATAAGTGAACTATAAATACATTAAGTCAACATTTGCATTAGTTGAATGGCAATACCAAGACACACTGACAGGTGTCTAAAGTATTTGAAAATATGTTTAATAATTCAAACATTTTATTTCTGCTTTCCCTTGCTTACATACTCACCCTACATACTTAAGAAATCTAAGACGACCACTTACTCGAACAGCAAAAAAAAGCATTACATTCAAAATTAAAGTACTGCCTTCTACCTATTAGAATAAAATTAAGTCACTCTATATTCATTCAGCATTATTTTATAATTTTAATTGGGCAGAAGCAACTTATCATTCTGAT